CCCCAAAACCCCAAAACCCCAAAACCCCACAATCTACTATAGTTAAAATTATGAAGCTTTAGAAATATCCTTTGAATAAAATAATTAAAAGTATATCTTTACAATGTTGAAAAATCTAGCAATAAGGAGTTTTGGATAAAAATTATCAGCTATCACACCCAGAGCTACCAAACTATTGATTAATGGCTAGTTAGTAAACTCGTCAAGTGGAGAAACACTTGCCACTTACAATCCAGCAACAGAAGAGAAGATTTGTGATGTATAAAAGGCTTGCCAGCAAGATGTTGAAAATGCTGTTCAAGCAGCTAGGAATGCATTTGAAAATGGCTCATGGAGAAGGATCTCAGCTTATGAGAGAAGTAGATATATCAACAAACTGGCTGATTTGATAGAGTAAAATCTTGATGAACTTATTATTCTTGAATCTATGGATAATGGCAAGCCAGTTTCAATGGCAAGAGCTCTTGATTTCGGAGGCGTGCTCAACACATTCAGATACTATGCAGGTATTGCAGATAAAATTCATGGCTCAACAATTCCAATCACTGGTAGATACAATTGCTATACTAGGTAAGAACCTGTTGGAGTATGTGCTTCAATCATCCCATGGAATTTCCCAGCTCTCATGCTTGCATGGAAACTTGCACCAGCCCTAGCAGCTGGGTGCACAGTTGTCCTCAAGCCTGCTGAGCAAACTCCATTGACAGCCCTTAGAATCGGTGAATTGATCCTTGAGGCTGGATTACCCGAAGGAGTAGTTAATATTGTTGTTGGTGATGGACCATCAGTTGGAAGATAATTAGCTTAACATCACTTAGTTGATAAAGTAGCATTCACTGGCTCAACAGAGGTTGGATATGAGATAATGAGAAGTTCTCATGTAAACAATCTTAAGAGAATCACATTAGAGTTGGGAGGAAAATCACCTGTAATCATAAATGAGGATGCTGATATTGATAATGCTGTTGCTATCACTTAATTTTCCACCTTTGGTAACTCTGGATAATCTTGTGTTGCTGGATAAAGAGTCTTTGTTCACGAAAAGATCTACGATGAATTTCTAAAGAGAGCAGTTTAAGCATGCCAAAGTCAAAAGGTAGGAGATCCTTTGGATGTTGATACAGAATATGGGCCAGTTATTGATAATGAATAATTCACGAAGATCATGAAGCATATTGAAACAGCTTAAAAGGAGGGTGGCAAATTGTTAACTGGCGGAAAGAGAATAGGGAATAAAGGGTTCTTTATTGAGCCAGCATTATTTGCTGATTTGAATGATGATATGACTATTGTGAAGGAGGAGGTATTTGGGCCAGTCTAGCAGGTTCTTAAATTCAAGACTCTTGATGAAGCTATTTAGAGAGCAAATAATACTAATTATGGTCTAGGAGCTGGTATTATCAGTTAAGACTGTGATGTCATAAACAAGTTTATCGATAATGTGAAGGCTGGTTCAATCTATGCTAATTGCTATGATGCAAATGATGCTTCAACACCATTCGGCGGATTCAAAGATTCTGGAATTGGAAGAGAATTAGGTGAAAGGGGTATTTCTTAATATCTTGAGACTAAGACTGTCATCATGAAGAAGAAATTGAAGTGAAATGTGCAATTACATAATGTTGACTAATTGAATTTAAATTGTATTGAGTATTGCTTTAATTCAGAAAAATTTAAATTTAATAAGTTAAAATTTCAACTGCGAATATAATAAAATAATGTCACTAAGAAGTGGATCAAGAGCAAACTTGAAATCAGCTGGTTCTTAAAGACCTTTTGTTAGAGCTGAATCAGTAAAATCAATGGCACAAAACGGCATGAGAATGGTTGGTACAGCAATGCCAGGTTAAAGAAGAGATATGAGAGGAGACTAAACAAATAAAAATACTGCAGTGGTAACATTTGATGACCTACAAAGAATCAAAGAATAATGTGCTTTGATTCCCCAGGAGTCTGAGATGCTGCTTAGATAAAAAGAAAGAGAAGAATTAAAATAGAAATCTTAGGCTAGAGTGAAGAACTGGCCAAACACAATATCAGCTATGAGATAAAAAAGAGAAGATGAAAAAATCAAAAGATTATACGATGAAGAGGTAAGTTTCATAATCAAATTCAGTTTAATATTTCGGTTATTCTTTTACCTTTTGCAATTGAAATACTAAAACTTTGTTAATAGATGGAAAGGAGAAAAGTAGATGAGATAGAGACATAACTTTAATAAGAAAAAAGAATTCAAGCAATTGAAAGTGCTAATAAAAAGTTGCATGATAACTAGGATCAAGTCAAAGCTTTCCATTCTAAAATGCTATTATGTGATGTAATTTAAGAAAGAGAAGCCTAAAAAGAGCTCAAAGTTAGAAAAGAAAATATAGATAAAAACATTGAACATTAATGGACTGAACTAGAGAAGCTTTAAATGGATGAGTATGATATAAAACTAGCAGAAAAACTTGAGAATCATCATAATAAGAGAATGGATACTGCTAAAGTAATTAAACAATAACTTTATGAGTTCAAAGTTGATCATATCAAGAAACTTAAGAATGATAGATTAGAGGGAAAACTTATAAGAAAACAAGTCGAAGACAACATCGAATTAGAGAGATAGAAAGAATTTTAAAGAAAGCTTCAACAAGCAAAGAATAGAGAGGAGTTAAATAGAGCAAATGAGGAACTTAGGGCTTACTAACTAGAAATAAAAAGAAAAGAAGAAATTGAAGCAGCTAGAATTAAAGAATACTCTCGAAAGAAGGACTAGTTAGAATAATTGAGAAAAGAGAAGGAAGCCTAGAAGTTCCAAGAAAAGTAGGATATTAAATAAAGATTGGTTGAAAGGTAAGCTGAGCATCTTGCTTCAATCAAAAGTAGAGATGAAGAAATTCTCAATAAACATGTTGCTGAAGCTGAAGAGAAAGCAGCAAGGCTATTTGAAGAGAAAGAGAGAAAACGAATTGAGCTTCAAAATCAAATTGAGAGATCTAGGAAAAATCAAATTGATAAGAGATTTAATGAAAAAGAATAGTCAAAGCAACAAGAAAAGGAATTCGCAGAATTCTGGAAGATTAGAAATGAAGAACTCGCTATTGGAGAATAATAAGAGAAAGAAGAAATTAGATAGAGAAATGCTGAATTATAAGGTTATCATCAGAGACAAATAGACTTGAGAACCAAAAAAGCAGAAGAAGATTATAAGAAGCAACTTGAAGAGACTACTAAAGCAAAAGCTTTGCTAGATTAAAACGATAAAGAATTTTACTCATACGCTGAAAAATGTATCAAAGAATGGCAAGATGCTGGTAAAAATGTTACTCCCCTTATACTTGAGCTTAAAAATTATAAAAAGCAAATAATATGACAAAAGTATTCTGAAATATATAATCATGATCGATAGAATTACTACTTAAATTAAAATTTTCAATTTCTCACAAAATCTTAAAATTTGAAGACAAGGGGTTTTGGGGTTTTGGGGTTTTGGGGTTTTGGGG